TTTTTCTGAGATTAATTAAACAGTTGTATGTAGATAAGGGGAATAAAATATAAAAAAGGATGTCAATCCAAGTGGCCAATAAGCTAAAGGTTAAATCACATGTCCTTAAGATTTCGATAGATTCTGTAATTATACTTCTATATGTCCAAATTTCTGTTCCGAAAAAGGAGTTTGTGTAAACGGTCAATGTATCTGCTAAGCCGGATTCGGAGGAGTTGATTGTTCTATTTAATGCTCCGGGTAGTTGATAATGAAACCTGTGTAGAAGGCTCATGTCCTTAAGGCAAATTTTTGAATCCAGATAATACTTGTAAACCAGATTGTCCTTTAGGTTTATTTGGAAGGGCTGAAAAATGTAGACCATGTGATGTCAATTGTTCTAGATGTACAGGACCTTCAGCTAATGAGTGTACTAGATGTTAGTTTATGACATTATTATAAAAAAAATAGTGTATTGATAAATGTAATGAGAAATAAGGATATTTTTATAATTAAACTTTAGGTATTTGTGAATATCTTTGGTCAAATAAATGTTAAGGAAATTGCAAAATTTGTTAAAAAAATAATTAGCATCATTGTGTTACTTGTAAAATAGGTTTTTTTTATTATAATATGTAGTGTTTAAGTTAATGTCCTTTTGGATATTTCGCAAATTAAGAACTTAAGCTTGTGAGAAGCTTTCCTAAGGATGTCTTTAATAAGATAATCCTAACACCTGTTCTCAATGTGATACTAATAATGGATTTAGATTAACTTTAGAAAAGAAATGCACTTTGTGTTAATTACCTTGTTCCTTGTGTAATCCTAATAAATTAACTTAATGTTTTGTTTGTGAGGAAAGTAAATTAGTAAGTATTAAAGATATTTGCGTAAATGAATGCACTTTTGCAGCTACTATTCTGACAGTAGAAAAAAATGTTTAGAATGTACTCAAAATTGTTAAAAATGCAATTATATTGGTTGTAATGAATGTTAAAATGGTTATTATCTATATTATTAAAGTAAATCTTGTTTATAATGCGTTATTAAATATCCTTATTGTCAATCCTGTGATTATCATTAATGTAATATATGTATGAATGGATATTAATTAAATTAAAATAAAAAATAATGTATATAAATAACTTCAGGAGAATTAACTGATGAAATTATTGAAACATAATGTCCTCAATAATGTGAGAGATGTTCTTAACCTGGAGAATGCTTAGAATGTAAAACCGGATATTATTAAGATTAAGCAAGTAAATAATGTGTTAAATGCAGAAATAAATTCAGTAATTGTTATAAATGTACTGAAACTAGTTGTATTAATTGCATTTAAGGATTTTAATAAGATTAATTTTAATAATAATGCTTAGAAATCCATAATATTGATGAAACTACTGAAATAGAATGCCCTAATGAATGTAAAAAATGTTCTAAATCTAAAATATGCTTAGAATGTTAAGATGGTTTTTATGATTATTCGTTTGATAATCCAACTATTTAAACTATATAATGTCTTAGTTGTACTATTAAATTCAGTAAATGTAGTTCTTGTACACCAAGTATTTGCTTAAAATGTTTTCCTGGATATGAATATTATGATTACGAAGAAAAATGCATTGAAGTTAATAAAGATGCTACTGATTGCAATCAAGGATGTACTTTATGTGGCTATAATAGTATGTGCTTAAAATGTATGAATGGTTTTTATTAAGATTTTATATATATATAAAATCTTAAATATAAAATTTGTTATGAATGCAGTAGTAAATTGAGTAATTGTATAACATGTGATTCGATTTAATGTACTAAATGTAATACCGGATATAATTTAAATATTTCTTTAAAATAATGCGAAATAATCCCGCCTTCTAGATTTTTAAATTATGTTTAAGGCGATGATTAATGATACTTTTTCGTTTTATTATTTATTAAATTTATATATATTAATATTAGTGATGATTTTGAAAAAGTAAATAAATTTATTTTTTTACAATATATATAATTATAAATATTTACATTTTTATTCAATTATAAAATATAATTTATTTAATATTTTTATATAATAGTTATTACGAGTATTATGTAAATGATATCTTAACTTATAAAAAATGATAATAATTATAAATTATAAAAAAAAATTATATTGTTTTTTTGTAAAATTAATAAATTTATTTTCAAAAAAAAATTATTATAATCTAATTTATATATATGAAAATAAAATAAAAATAAAATAAATTAATTTATATTATTATATATTTAATATATAAATAATAAAATAAAATTATTAAAATAAATTATATAATTATAAAAGAATTTATATATTTTATTATAATTTTTCAATTAAATTCTTAGAAAAACAATAAGATCAAGAACAAAAAGGAAAAATAAAATAAAAATATATCCTTAGATGATATGATTATATTGTAAATTAATTTTCAACTTTTATATTGCATAATCGATACTATATGTTTTTTATCAGGAATAATTGAATATTATTTGTCATAATATAATTGTATGATTGAATATATATAGATAATAAAATTAATCGAAATAAAAAAATATAAGAAGTAAATCATTTAAATGTAGATATAAAAGAAACCTTAATATATTATAGTATTGAAAATAATCTAATGGGAATTATATTAATAAGAAATAATATATAAAGTTCTGCATATTGAAAATATTTATATTTTCTTAATAATAATATTACTTTAAGTTTTTAATCTTTTAATTCAGAATAAATTATTTTGTATTGAATAATATATGATATAGTATAAAGATTTATACATATTACACTATTTTATTAATAATTATGTTTTTAAATATAATCATAATAATAAATCGATTTATGCAATTAATTATTTAAATGATAAAAATACAAAAAAATAAAATAAAAGAGTAAATTATAAAAAAAAAAATTAATGTATTTTATTTAATTATTTATATATTTATATTTAAAGTAATCAATTTTATTCATAATTAGCATTTTCTAAAAATTCATAGTTTATAATTGCATACCAAAGAATATCATTATCATTAAACTTATTATTTATACATACATTAACCCAATTATTAATTATATAATATTTTAAAGTTTCATAGCACGAAATAGTAACCATTCCCCTTTCTCTTGCAAAATTGGTTATTAAATGTCCACTACTATCATGGAATCCAAATTTAAATAGGGCTTCATCTTATTTTCTAATATTTTTTAAATGTCTTTTAATTTATAAAATTAATAATTATTTAATTAAATAATTAAATGGCAAAAAATCAAATTCTAAATGAATTTTTTTATATTCAGCATGCTTATCCTTATCAATAAATTAAAACATCGTATTATAAACCCATATTGGTGTATTTAATATTATTTATATCAACTTAGATACTATGTATGTGCCCGATATATATTCCATACTTAAAAATTAACAAATTTTATGCAAAGTTTCTAGTTTCATCTTCTTATAATCTAATCCGTCAGCCTCAAAAGTTGAATAATTTTTAAAAAAATGCTATTTGTATAAATTATCTTCCAAAAAATCTTAGGGATTAGCTCCACATTTTTTCATAAAATGATTTTTGAGTATATTATCTAAATACTCATGTGACAATCTCTATTTCTCTTCTAAATTCTCAATTTATTAATCATATTTATAATCAAAAGTATACTCAGAAGGAATCGAATTGGGGAAAAAAACTAAATAAAAAGGCAGTAAAAATTCCGAAAAAGGTACTATTATAAAAAAGGAGAAAGGAATAAATTTCAACAAATCAATTTTTACTTAAGAACTTTTCCTTAATTCAAATCCTGTGTAATGTTCTTTTTTTTTTTTTAGCATTAATTTAAATAACCATTTTGAGTCATAATATGTATCTTTTGAACCTTGTTTAATTAATAATAAAAATTCTTTTAAAAAAACTTTGAATTTAGATAGATTCTTTTTTTATTGATGAAATTCAGTAGTTGATATAATATTATATTGGATTTTTTTTTGAAAGTTAATTTGCTTTAAAAATTAAAAGTGTTTTAATTATGATAACATTTTAAGTATTATTTTTTGATTTTGTTTTTATTTAATTTTTTCTAATTAATTTTCTTGTCTTATATATGATTATTAAAATAATTATATGTATTTATATAAAATATAAGTATATAATAAATATATATATATATATATATATATATATATATATATATATTTATAAAATATATATATTTAAATACAATATTATATTTACTGTATTATTTAAACTTAAATTTTTTTCATGTTTTTGAATAACTTAAAAAAAAATAATACATTTTATTTTTAATTTTTGAACTAATAAAAATGAATATAAGAATTAGGTTTTAAAAATACAATATATATACTTTTATATATATTAAAAAATATATATATATTTATACAAAAATAAATATATATATATATATTATTTTATAAATATTTTTATATGTACATATATATTTATATAATTTTTTTGAATGTTTTAAGCCGTTTTTTATATAATTTTTATTTTTTGAATAAAAACATGTATTTTTTTTTTTTTTAATATTATATATTTATTTTCTCTATCTATTAATTCAATTTTTTTTTATATTTTGCATTATTCTTTAAATATATACAATTTTATATAAAGATATGATTTAGAAAAAAAATAAAATGAAACAATAATAATGTTTAATTTTAATATTATTTATTTCATTTAAATTTTTTCTTATATTCTTTGCCCTTTATTTTTCATTAAAAAATGTTATATCAATAATTTATTATAATATATTTTAAAAAACTCTATCTATTCTTAAATATAATGTATAATTCTTTATAATAATTTAATTAAAGATTTTTTTATTTATGTATTATTATTTATTAATTTAAAATAGAAAATATTTTAATTAATATCTTTTTTAAAATAAAAACTGTTAAAATAATGTAGTTTGAATTTTCGATAGATCGTGGAGGAACATTTACAGACATATACTGTAATATATACAACGATTAAATATATCAAAAAAATCTGGTAAAAAAAGTCTTATCAGAAAATAATACATATGGAGATGGTCCAAATGAAGGCATCCGTTAAATATTATAAGAAAACTTAAACATAGAAATTTCTTTAAATGATAAAATTCCATCCTAAAACATAAAAGAAATTCGCATAGGTACAACAGTTGCCACTAACGCTTTATTACAAAGAAAAGGGGCTCGGACAGCCTTGATAGTAACGAAAGGTTTCTAAGACATATTAAGAATAGGCAATTAATCTCGTCCGAATATATTTGATTTAAGAATTTAGAGATATCCATAAATATATGAAAAAGTAATAGAAATAGACGAGAGAGTAATTATTTTAGGGAAAAAAGATAAAAATTAATAATAAAATAATAATATAATATAATCAAAGACTTCTTAGGATGAATATATATAGATTATAAAGGAAATAAATATAGAGGAAGTTCGTGAAAAACTCCAGGAATTAAAAAATTAAGGAATTCAGTCTATTTCGGTTGTTTTTTGTCATTCTCCTACTTTTTATTAACATGAACTTTTAGTTGAAAAAATCGCCTTAGAAATGAATTTTTTTAAATAAATTTCACTCTCGCATAAAGTATTGCCTTTAATAAAAATGCTTCCAAGAGCATATACAACTACTTTAGATGCTTATTTAAATCCAATTATTGTTGAATATATGAATAATTTTATAAATGCTTTTGATGAAAATTTCAAAAAAGTTCCTCTTTCTTTTATGTAATCGGATGGCGGTTTATGCTAATTTAATCATTTTACTGGTTCTAAATCTCTATTATCTGGGCCTGCGGGTGGGGTAGTCGGTTTTGTGAATACTTCGAGATTTCTAATAGACAAAAATGACCATTTTAAAGGCATTATAGGCTTTGATATGGGTGGTACATCAACTGATGTATCCCGATATTCTAAAAAAGAAGGATTTGAACATATATATGATAGCTAAATAGCAGGAGTAATGATCCAGACAGCCCATTTAGATATAAATACAGTAGCAGCAGGTGGTGGATCAAGACTTTTTATCAAAAATGGAGCTTTTTTGGTAGGTCCGGAATCTTCAGGAGCCAATCCAGGGCCTGTTTGCTATGGGAAAGGGGGTTTTTTGTCAATTAGTGATGCTAATGTGGTTTTAGGGAGACTTTAAAGGGATTTTTTTCCAAAGATTTTCGGAGAAAAATAAGACTAAGGTCTTTTTATTGAAGACACTTTTAAAAAATTCGAAGAATTGAAAAATGAGAATTTCGAAGTTTGTAATAATATGAGCATTTACGAAATTGCAAATGGATTTATTTAAGTTGCAAATGAAAGTATGTGCAGACCTATAAGGAATTTGAGTTAATAGAAAGGCTGTGAACCTAAAGGAGAGGTTTTAGCGGTTTTCGGGGGTGCAGGGGGATAACATGCGTGTCTTATAGCGGATAATTTAGGTATTTAGTAAATATTTATACATAAGTTTGCAGGTATCTTGTCCGCTTTTGGAATATAGGAGGCTGATTAAGTCGAAGATAGGTCCGAGAGCGTCAATATGGAGTTTTTGAGGTAGGTTTTGGTGGAAAAATAGGTTTTAGTGGAAAAAATGAAGGATTTGAGGAAAAAAAATGAAGAGAAGTTCTAAAAAGATGGGCTTTTGGCTAATGATGGGGTTTTTTTTAATGAGGAATTTTTAGGGATGAGATATGATGGAACAGACACAGTTTTGTAAATTAGATTCGAAGAAAGTATAGTTTGGTAGGAGCTTAAAGATATCTATGAGAAGAAATATAAGCAAGAGTTCGGGTTTTTATTGCAAAAAAGATGCATTATTATAGATTTAGTCAGAGTGAGGACTATTTATTAAAAAAAGCAATAATAATAATATAAAGAATAAATGGAAGATTCTGATATTTTTTCTGAATATAAATAACCTCCTTAAGAAAACAAAATATAATACAGAGAAGTTTATTTTTTTAATAATAATGAAAAACAGGTCTATAAATAAAAAACTCCTATATATATAATGAAAGATTTATAACCTTCCACTAAACTAGAAGGTCCTTCCTTAATTATAAATGAGACTTCAACAATTTTAATAGAGCCTTTTTGGAGTTGCATAATAACACGAAAAGGTAATTTGAGTATAAAAAAAAATCTTTTTTAAATAAATAATAATTAAAAACACACACAAGTAATACCTTCTAAACCTGATCCGGTTTAATTATCTGTTTTTTCAAATAGATTTATGAATATAGCAGAATAAATGGGACGTGTATTATAAAAAACTGCTATTTCTACTAATATTAAAGAAAGATTGGACTTTTCATGTGCTTTGTTTTCAAATATAGGGGATTTAGTGGCCAATGCACCACATTTACCTGTACATTTAGGCTCTATGGGTGAATCTGTGAAGTATTAAATATAAAATAACCCAAATTGGAAAGGTCAAGAGGTCATAATGACAAATCATACAAACTTTGGAGGCTCTCATTTGCCTGATATTACTGTCATAACACCTGTTTTTACCGAATAGAGTCTCCAACCAGCTTTTTTTGTAGCTTCAAGAGGCCATCATGCTGATGTAGGTGGTATTACGCCTGGAAGTATGCCTCCTTTTTCTAAAAAACTAACTGATGAAGGTCTCGCAGTAAAAACAATGAAGATAGTTGACTAGGAAGGAATTTTCAAAGAAACTGAAATCCGAACTTTATTGTAAGAAAATAACTGTAGACTCATAGAAGACAATATATCGGATTTAAAAGCCCAAATATCTGCAAATAATAAAGGGAAATGCTTACTTTTAGACTTAATAAATGAATACTCATTAGCTTATGTATAAAAATACATGATTTTTATATAGGAATATGCAGAAACTTGTGTAAAAAACATGCTTAAAAAAAGTCTTTTGCCCGAAAAAGTTCAAGAAATAGAATATATGGACGATGGTACCCCTATATGTCTAGAAATGACTATAGATAAAAAGACCGGGAAAGCCCATTTTGATTTTTCAAATACTGGCTTAGAGGTATTTTCGAATACAAATACACCATATTCAGTTTGTATTTCGGCTATTATTTATTGCCTTAGAAGCCTTGTGGATGAAGAAATTCCATTAAATTAGGGATGTTTGAAAGGTATTTCTATATATATTCCAAAAAACTCGATTTTAAACCCGTCAGAAGATGCAGCGTGCGTAGGGGGGAATGTGTTAACTTCTTAGAGAATCACAGATTTGATTTTGAAGGCTTTTAAGGCTTAGGCGGCATCTTATGGATGTATGAATAATTTTACTTTTGGAAACGAAAAAATGTCTTATTATGAGACTATAGGTGGCGGAGCGGGAGCCGGAAACGGGTGGAATGGATAAGATGCGGTTTAATGTCATATGACGAATACTAGAATTACTGATATAGAGATTTTAGAGAGGAGATATCCGGTTATTCTTTGGAAATTTTAAGTAAGAGAAGATAGTGGAGGTTAAGGGAAGTTTAAAGGGGGGTGTGGAATTGTGAGAGAGTTTTAATTTTTAGAAAATAATATTGTTTGTAGTATTTTGAGTGAAAGGAGAGTTTTTGCACCATTCGGGTTAGAAGGGGGAGGAGAGGGGAAAAAAGGATTGAATTTGTATATTTAGAATGATAGAAAAATAGTTAATTTAGGAGGAAAAAATACTGTAGTAGTTTAAAAAGGAGATAGGATTATTATTATGACACCAGGAGGGGGTGGATTTGGGAAAAATTAAGAAGGGGAAAATCAGGAAAAATAAGGGTTTTAAAAAATAATGATAGATAAAGAGTTTGGAAGTTTGCTTAATTATTAGAGACTATAGGAAAGTGCATGATTTTATTTATATACTATATATGATTTGTATACATATATATAAAGAGTTATTAAATTATGTATTTTTAAAAAATTTCAATTTTTATAATTAAATATAAAATATTATTTATTTATATTAATACTAATATTATTTGCTTATATTATTTTTATAATATAATTTATTATTATTATGCGTATAAAAATAGAATTTTCATAATCATAATCATATTTTAAATTAATTTAATTATAATTTAATAAAAAAATATTAAATCATTTCTATTTTTTATATAAAAATAAAAAGTTAAATATTTAAAAATATTAATTTATAAAAATAAAAATAAAAATTAAATGTTATAATAAAAAAAATAAAAATAATTAAAATAACAATTTTTTTTTTTTTTTTCGATATATATTTATTTAAGATTTCATAATAAATATAATTTTTATTTTCATAAATTCTATAATAATATATATATAAATTTTTAATATCCTTCGTTTTATTTATAAATATATATAATAAAAAAGATGATGTCTTTTTCATAAAATAAATTCATCTAAGTCCTAAACTTTTCTTGTTTCTTCTAAAAAATATTAAAATAAATTTGAATTAACAACATCTTTTCTTTTACAAATATTATTAAAATAAGCTTGCAATTAATTTTTTCTTTTCAAAATAAATTCCTAATTTTTATTTTAAAACCATTTTCTTTCCGGAAAACCTTTTAAATTTTGAAATTTTTTAATCAATTTTAAATGCAATTACCTTAAAAGTGAATATCTAGTTTAAAATTACCATTATTAATGTATATTAGCTAAATTATTACATTTAAAAACTGTAATATTGTAAACTACAACCTATTCTTTTGTGTTTTTATGGTCCTCTATGTCATCTTCGGTAATAATTTCATGTTAATTAAATTCAAAATATATAAAATTAGAATTATCAAATTAAGTTTGCAAGCATTATTTTTTACACAAAGTAAATTTGTGTATTTTTTCTTATTATAAATAAGAAGAAGGGAAATAAAAAGTATTTTTTGTTTAATTTTTCAAACGAACTTTTTCATTTAGAAAATGTATTATTGATGAAAAATAGTTTTCTTGGATTTAATTTGTAGTTATAGGCTCATCGTCAGTAGAAATTTAGGATTTTATTTTTTGGGCTTACGTGGACTCTTATTTAGATTCTATAAAAGGGTCAGAAATTAATATATTATCCATTAGGAATGTGTGAATTTTATTTGGCAATGATTTGAATAGTAAGAGATTTTTGTAAAGTTATTCAGTTCTAAAAACCTTTTAATTATATTGGTTTTTTTTTTTTTTTAAGTTTTTTTTTTAAGCTTTATTTTGTTTTTAAATATATTTATTTATTATTAATAATTTTTTTTTTTTTCATAAGTAATTAAAGTCATTTGTTTTAAATAAATATATTATATTATATTTTTAAATATGTTTTTTCTTTATAATTAACAAAAATAATATTTTTTTTTTACTTATATTATAATAATATTTATTAATAGAATTTATATTAATAATAGAGAAAAAAGAAGTTATAAATTAAACTTTTTAAAGAAAAATAATGTTTAATGAGATTATAAATTTAAATAAATATTTCTTAAAAAAACAATAGCAAATGAGATTTATTATAAAATACTATACTAAATATATAAAATAATTATAATAACATTAATAATAATATAAAATTTAATATAAAAAATTATTAATAATAAATTAAAAGGTATATGTTTTTTAAAAACTATTATTTTGCAAAACAACATCAATAAATATATGCTTTCGAATTAAAATTTAAAACATTTGTATTTGCTTATTTAATAAATTGTAAATTTTTATTATATAAAAAACTTAAATTGTTTATAATTTTAATAATAATTATAAATTTTTTTTATTAATATAAAATATAAAAGTAAATTATTTTAAAAAATTTATAATAAACTTTTTAATTATTTGAAATCTAAATATTTTATATTTATATTTATTTTAATCAAGTAATATAAAAAATGTCCTAAAAACATATAATATATATACAAATTATTTAACTTAATTAATAAAAAATCGAAAATTTAATTAATAAAATAAAAAAAATATCATATATGTTTTTTTTGATATTAAATAATTAAATTTAATATTTATATATGTGTTTGTTTTTCGTTTAAATGTTAAATTTTAATAATAATTTTTAAAAATAATATATTATAAAATAAATTACATCTATATAAATATATATATATATAACATATTTATAAAATAATAAAAATGTAAATTGTAAAAAAATAGAAATATTATATAATTAACTAAAAATATTAAAAAAAAATAAACATAAATAATAATAATTTGTGTTACTTATATTTATTGATATAATTTAAAATAAAAAATATAAAATAGGAAGGAAATAATAATAAAAAAATTATAATATAAACAGATAATCAATTTAAATGAAAATATTAATAATTTAAATTAATTATAATATATATAAATTATAATATTAATATTAAACAATAAGTATAAAATAATATTATACTATTATTTAAACATAATCATATTTATAAATTATTTACTAAAACCTTAATTCAAATTAAACAAATATTAAATTTCACATATTTTGATTTATCAAAAAAAGTGTACGATTAATTTTAATTAAATAATTCAATTTTATGTTAACTAAAAAACTCCAGATTTTAATAAGAATATCAGAAAACTATATGTATTTTGAACAATTAAAGTTACTTAAGTAATAAATTTTGACTCTTAATGTGTTATAACAGAAAATATTTACAAACAACTAGTTAATTTAAAAAATAAATATAAGTTTATATATATATATATATTATTATAGATAATTGAATATATATTTAAAATAAAATTAAAAGATTTACTATATTATCTTGTAATCAATTTAGTTAATTAAGAACATTGGTACTAATTTTTTTTAAAAAAATACTATATTTAGGATATAATTTACTGTATTTTCAAAAATTAATGTAAATTGACTTAATAATCATAAAATTTTTAAGGTAAAAAATATACATATATAATTTAGATATATATATTTTTAATTTATTTATAATTTTCTGGAAAGAAAGTTTAGTAATATTTTATATAATATTAAAAATTGAATAAATAAATAAATAATTTTATTAGAACTTTATAAAATTTTTAGTTAATAAATATGTAAAATTACAATTATATTATAGTATAGTTAATTACAAAAAAAATGGCTAACAAAAAATCGAAACTTAGAATGATTAAAAATTACTTATTATTAAAATAAATATATATTTTATTTATATATATTAATTTTATGATAAATAATAATTTTTTTTTTTATATATATTAAATATTATTAAGATAATTAATTTTGCTTAAGTTTTTTATACATTTTTATTTTTGTATTATTATATAATCTTTTTTTACTGATTTATATTTTAATATATCTTATTTTTTTTTATATGTATCAATTATATAAATCTATAATTGATAAAGAAGGAGATAATATAATATATTTTTACAAATTTTATTTTATTTTTTATCTATGATTGCAAAAGGTATAATTAAATTTAATATTATTATCATTCATTATTAAAAAAATTTATATATTTTAGATATTTAATAATTTAGATATTAATTTAAATACAAAAATATTAATATATTTTAGCAAATAATATAATAAAATATTTATTATTTTTAAATACTACTATTTTAAAATACTACAAATAAATATTATTATTAAAAAATATTTTATTATACAGAATTCAAATTATATACAAAGTTTCTTTTTTTATAAATATATTTTATAAAAAAGAATAAAATTTATTAAAATAGTAATAAAATAATGTAAATGAATAAATAATAAAAATTATATAATATTTAAAATTATATAAATTTTTAAATAAAACAATTTTTAAGAAAATTATTTTAATGTATATTTGAAATAATTCCATTATGAAAAAAAAAAGAAAATAAAGAGAAAAAAAAAAGAATATATATAATATAATAAAAAAAAAATAGAAAAATAAAATAAAATAAAATATATATATATATATATATATATATATATATATATATATATATATATATAATATTTATATATTTTTTTAATTTATATATATTATAAATACACATATAATATTTTTTAATAAAATAAAATAATATATATATATATTTTTTTTTAAATATATAAGATAAGAATAATGGGTGGTTTATTATATAATGCAATAAAAAAAAAAGGATAAGATAAACTAAAAACAAGTGCCTAAAATCTCTGGGCACTTGAAGCTGTTGACATTGATGGTAATCTTAGAAAATTAAGTGAATTTTCACATAATAAAGCTGCAATTGTTGTAAATGTAGCATGTAAATGAGGATTGACTTCTGACCATTATTTATAGTTAGTGCAATTGTATAAGAAATATAAGTAAAAATAATAATATATTCATATAAATATTAATTAAAATAGAAATTAAGGATTTACTATTCTAGCATTTCCCGCTAACTAATTTATGAGTCAAGAACCTTGGGATCCTCCATAAATTAAAGATTTTGTAATAACTAAATTCGGAGTAGATTTTCCATTATTTGGAAAAGTGGATGTAAATGGAGAAAATTCTCATGAAGTTTATAAAGTAATATATATTTATAATAATATATATACTAAATTAATTTTTTTTATAACTATAGTATTTAAGAAATAATAGTTGTTTATATGATCCTGCAACAGAAAAAGCTAAAAACATTCCTTGGAATTTCGGAAAGTTTTTAATAAATAAAGAAGGAAAAGTTCATAGGTTTTATACTCCTAAAGAAATGCCTAATGAAATGATTCCTGAAATAGAAAAATTATTATAATGAAAAAAAAAAATTATAAATATATATAGAGATAAATAAAGAATATTTACGAAAGCAAATTATATAAAATGATTGTATATTCAAAAAAAAAAAAATGAATTTACATGAAAAATATATTTAATTTTGTTTTATCTAAATTCTTTATTGTTTTATTTATAATATAATATTCATTTATATTGTCTTGTAAAAAAATATAAATATATATAAATAGATATAAATAAATATATTATTATTATATTATTAATCTATTTAAATAATAATATATATATTTTTTTATTATTATTAGATTTTGGTTTTTTTAATTTATTTTTATGATAATTTTAATTATTTTTAAAGTTTCTAAAGTATAATAATTTTTTTAGTTTCTAAAAAGCAATTTTTCCTATATAAAAACAATAATTTTATTATTATAATATATTTAATAACATAAATATACAATATTTTTACATATTATTTATAATTGTTATTTAATTAATTATTAAATGATTAAATTTAAAAAAAAGAAAGATTAATTAATATATTAATAAATTTCTAAAAAAGTATAGCAATATTAATATTAAATAATTTTAAGAAATATAAAATTAAAAAATAAAGAAAATAAAAATTTTAAAATTATAAAATGAATATTTTTGAATTTTATATAAAATTTATTTCTATTTAAAAAAAAAAAATCTATTTATTTATATTTTTTCTTTAAATCATAAATAAAATTAAAATTTAAAAAAAAAATTAGTTAAAAAAATTAAATTAAAAATTATAAAAATAATTGTATATAAATATATATATATATATATATATATTTATATATTTATATATTTATATTTATATACATAATATTTTTTTTTTTTTTTTATTCATATTATTATTAGTTTATTAATAATTTATTAAAAATAATTTTAATATATTTAATATATTATTAATGAATAAAATTTTTATTTCTAATTTAATTATAAATATTTTTTTTTTTTTTATTAATAATAAATTTTAATTTTTTTTTTTTTTTATTAATTCTTTTTATTATTTAAAATTATTATTATATTCATATTTATAACAATTGAAATAAAAATTATAAATTAATATATATATTTATTAATACAAAAAAAAATATTAAACTATTTTTATTTGTTTTAAAATATATTTCTATTTATAATTAATTATTATATTTTTAAATTATTTTCATTAATTTTTACTAAATTATCACAATATTTATCTAAAAAACTTTACAAATTAAAATAGAAAATTTTATTTTTAATCAATATTCTTTCATTAATTATCACCTTAAATCTAATTTAAAAATCTAGAAGACGGGATTATTTCGCATTATTTTGAAGAATTATTTAAATTATATCCGGTATTACAGTCAGTGCATTAAATCGAATCACATTTTATACAATTACTGAATTTACTACTGCATTCATAACAAATTTTATATTTAAAGTCTTATATATATAAAAAATCTTAATAAAAACCATCCATACATTTTAAGCACATACTATTTTAGCCACATAAAGTACATCCTTCATTGCAATCAGTAGCATTTTTATTAACTTAAATGCATTTATCTTCGTAATCATAATATTCATATCCAGGAAAACATTTTAAACAAATACTTGGTGTACAAGAACTACATTTACTGAATTTAATAGTACACTTAAGACATTATATAGTTTAAATAGTTGGATTATCAAATGAATAATCATAAAAACCATCTTAACATTCTATACATATTTTAGGTTTAGAACATTTTTTACATTCTTTAGGGCATTCTATTTCAGTAGTTTCATCAACATTATTGATTTCTAAGCATTATTTTTATGACTCATCATATTAAAATCCTTAAATGCAATTAATACAACTAGTTTCAGTACATGTATAACAATTACTGAATTTATTTCTGCATTTGACACATATTTTGCTTGTTTTATTTTCATAAAAACCAGCTTTACATTCTAAGCATTCTCCAGGTTATGAGCATTTCTCACATTAATGATGGCATTATGTTTCAGTAATTTCATCAGATAATCCCCCTGAAGTTATTTATATACATTATTTTTTAGTTTAATTTAATTAATATCCATTTATACATTTATTACATTAATGATAATCACAAGATTTGCAATAAGGATATTTATTAACACATTATAAGCAAGATTTATTTTCATAATATACATAATAACCTTCATAACATTCATTGCACCAATATAATTACATTTTTAACATCCTGTAGACATTTTTAGCATTTTTTCT